TTTGTAGATATAGTACAAAGAATATAAACAAGTAAATTCAATAGACTTGAGTGATATATATGTATATATATATATATACATATATATCACTAAAATTGAATTAAATTTGATAATAATAATTAAAATTTGTAACATAAGGAATACAACTTAGTAAGTTTAATAGACACACCGTCAACTCCAGAGTAATATACACAAAAAAGAATTAATACTAAGCAATATTAAATATGTTATCTTTTAAGATCATGATATGAATGCACAAATCAGAAATAAAGCGGTCAAGCTGAATCTTTAGTGTTTAAATAATTCCGTGTAAATTTGCAGGATTGGATAATTTCAAATTTGCAGATATAATAAAAAGAATATAAGGTCCAATAGACCCATCAGCTTTGAAATAATATAATTGAGCGAGTTAAAAATATAGACCGATTGAAAATATAGACCGATTGAAAATATAGACCGATTGAAAATATAGATCGATTGTCAGCTTTGAAGAATTAATAAAGAACGACTAAAAGGTCAAATAAGTCAGTTGATATCACAAATACAAATGCGAAACGGCCACGTAACGATACAGCATAACAATATAATGATACGTATATAATGATAACGATAACAAATAACATTTAATATAATTATCCATCCATGCACAAAAAAAAGAAAAAAAATGGGCGCAAACAGCGCAAGTACACTAATATTATTATTCACACTAGGAAACAACTCGACAAACATATTTTCGCAAATGGATCATACACGATTAAAAATTTGATTAACACCTGCCGATGTACGAATACACACGTGCACGCACGCACGTGGCAAAAGCGACGTCTGAGGACTTTCCTTCGCACTTCGATGATTCCCTACCTACGTTGGTGATGAAGTGCAAAATGATATCGCATGAACACTGATGAACACGTTAAATACAAATGTCGTGCGCTCGCATTCAAACGATCAGGCAGAAGAATCTTTGCGCAAGTTGACCTCTATCTCGCGAAAGACAGGTCTGAAGGTCAATAAACAAGCACGATCAGAATGGAGGGGAGGTGACAATCGGTCAGTAGATTTGTATCACCAAACACGCAGCGCTCATTGGCGACGTTCACGCGACTAACTTCGGGCCGTTCCATTCAAATTTGGAGCAGCATTGATAGCACATAAATTTGAACATCACATAATATTCTCTGAAAAACATAGCGAGGAAAATTCTTTCCTTCTTGCTGGGAGATGCGATTTCATTGTTTACGTATCCATTTACATATAAAAAAAAATAACGGTTTTAATTCGCGGATAACTTCATCTCGGCGGGAAAGTTAAAATTGATTCTATCGTAGGTTTAAAAAGATGGAATCGTTTCTCCTTGCCATTCAAGTGTTCGAAGTTGGAAATATACGATGATGATAATGAATGTAAACATTTAACAGCTTCTCCGGAGCTGACAACAAAATCTATAATACTATATTTACTGATATTAGGTTCGTGAAATCTATTTAATAACTGCTGATTAAAAGGCATTAATTAATTTTAAAGAATTAAAAAGACATATATAACTTGTATAAAAGAATGAATTATTAAATTTATTTTAATAACAATAATTCAAATTTTCAGTTGTAACTGAAAGAATTGAATGGATCTAATAAGTTCACATCAGCTCGGGACAATGTCTATTTCTATTAATATAATTAACTTTAATTAACAATCTCTGTTTAAAAATTAAATTAATAGAGCTACAAGCTAAGCAAGATCTTAATGCTATATTAGCTATATTAAAGAACAAACAGAATAGTTAATACGTTTGAATTAAAAAATTTGTTATATTGTTTAATATTGAGAATAATCCAATTGAGGTCGAAACTTTCTAATAAACTTTCTAATAAACTTGTGTTATTTAAAAATATAGGCTCATAGTCCTATTTATTAATTTAATTTTTATTTAAAACAAAAATTTCTGTTTAATTTATCTTTTTTTTTATCTTTTTCTAATTTTTAGAACTAAAATAAAAATAAGTTAAATCGAGATTAATTTTAATCATGTTTATATAAATTACTCTTCATTCTTTTATAATTCTTAGAAATAGAAAAAAATAAAAAATAAATTAAACTGAAATTATCTATATTAAAATCTAAACTACATTTCTAAGACGTAAGTATATTAATATAATAATTGAAAGACGTAAGTATATTAATAAAGCGACAATCAAGTTTAAAACCACAATAAGACAGATCTCCGTTGCATGCAGTTATTGAAAAAAAGGAAAAGAGATATAATCGTTCTTGGGGAAATTTCCATTATATTGTGTTTAAATTAACAAAGGTCGTTTTCCTGAACTCGCAAAACTTTTTCCATCCTTTTCGAGCGTTCTGAAAAATTATTAAAAAATTATAATCGTGCCACGTGATCGCGCATGTCATCCGCTTATCGCTCGTTCGAGTACAGCCGCGCCTGCAGTCACGGTGACATTCTAACCTCAATTGAGCATTTTCCGAGCAAATCCGTGATCGCCAGAATCTTTTTTCTAGCGTTTTCCGATCACGTTCATGAAGACAAGCAAGATTTTAGCTTTGATGGAAGATCGACGAGGATTATTATTTCTCTTGAGAGCTCGGACTGTTAAATGCTTCAAAATATGAAAATCATTTCGCACATTTCTGATGCTTATTTATCAAGAATTGCCAAGAATCAATTTTTTGCACAACGCACATTCTCCAACATCTAATAAAAATTCGTGATTAGTTTTAGCGTTATTCGACGGATGCGACTGTCGTACGAAAAAAAGGAAATCAAAGGGAATACCGTGAACGATATCGCGAAGTGTCGCTCATTCGCCTCTTCTTTCCTAACCTCATAATCAGTCCGAAATTTATAGCGCCCCCAAGTAAAACGACGTCGAAGTCGCGAGAAGGGTGCGATACACGCGGCGCGTCGTGTGCTACACGACGATCGACGTTTACGGTCACGTCGACGAGAAAAAAAAAGAAGTACAAGAAGGAAAAGAGGAAGAAGAGTCGCAGATCTAACGATTCTGACATTGAGCTTCCATCGTTTCGTTATCGAATCGCACGTGGCTCCAAGGACGGCAACTCCTCGCCGTCCGGATTCGCTTTCTCCTCTTTACAGACTTTTTCAAAATGGCAGCGGCTACGGACGAGCTGAGTAAGTACTCCCGAGAGAAAAAAAAGAGAGGAAAAGAAAAAGAAAGAAAGAGAGAGAGATGATCTCCTTTATGCGCGATGTATAATAATCGACAACCGGGTCGTGGGTCATGCCATTTGTCCTGAAATAGAGAATGGAGCCAACTTAAGAGGTCCAATGCAAACCTGATTGTCATGCTAGAGAGACGACCTCGGGGAGGACCTATGGATTTCCATCCTTTCCTTGATGCTCCTCCCTTGCACCTCCCTGAACACGTGTCCGCAACTGTCAAATCTCGATACTGTCGTTTAAATACCATTGACATCCCTGACAATCCCGATTCGACAACACATGATGTCAGCATTTTTTCAAAATGATCTCACGTTCGATTACATCGCTGAAATAAGATCGATATATGAGGGCTATGATCCGATTCATGTGGATTCATGCTCATAAGCATTATTTACACGAGTCATTAGATCTTTTTTTTATTGCTACACTAAACTGTATTAATTCTCTCTCTCTCTCTCTCTCTCTCTCTCTCTCTCTCTCTCTCTCTCTCTTTCGCCAAATATCGAACATATATCTATAATCTCATTTTAAGTTTCAAAAATATGTATTAGTTCAGCTATAGAAGACAAATCTCTTGTTTAATTTTAATAAACAATGAGGATAAAATAATTCTGTTGTGAATCAGACTGCAATCAAGATCAATTTGTTCTTCTTCAGCCTGATTTCATCAAACTCTCTCAATTTATTCTTTACCTTTTTCTAATTCTAAGAATCTTAAGTTAAACGGTAAGTTTAATTGTTGAGATTAAAGTTAATCTTACATTGATAGTACCAAGCCTTGAACTTTTTGTATTCTCTTTTTTCATTATAAAAAGAGAAAAAAGAAAAGAAACTCTCTCTCTCTCTCTCTGTGCAAGAGGTTGAGCTAAAAAGAATATGTCTATTATTTTCTATTGATAGATATAAGATGCTATAAGACATATAAGATCCTATAATAGACATATAAGAGTATGTTTATTATTTCACTTTAATTAAATGTAACATATGATTAGAAATTCTTCTTTCTCTTGCTATCAACTCTGTACATGTAAGAAAGATTGGAGAAATATTAATTATATGCCATAACTTTCTTGTGTTTCATTTAGTTTTACTCGAGCGAGTGTTCCTCCGTTTGGGTTCTGCTGAGACAGATGAGCAGTTACAAGCGTCAGTTTGCAAATTTTTACCTCCTGTGCTGCTCAAGTTGTCTAGTGGTCAGGAAGGCGTCAGGAAGAAAGTGATGGAACTATTGATCCATATAAACAAAAGAATAAAGAGCAGACCCCAAGTTCAATTGCCTGTTGAAGCTTTACTCTTACAATATCAAGATCCATCAGCTAGTTCGTTTGTGATTGTATGTTATCAGCGCAGATCAATTTATGATTTACGAAATCAGAAAAAGACGGCATAATGTATATTTGAATAATTGCAGAACTTTACAATAATATATATAAAGTTAGGATATCCTCGAATGGAGTTGAACAAGCAAGCAGAATTAGTTCCAAGTGTATTAAATGCTATTGAGGGAAAACCATTGTCTCATCAAGACAGGTTTGCTTTTTACAAATTCCTTAATTCTTAATTACTCTTATATTTTAATTTTTCAGAGCTAACGGTGGATCTATTGGATCCAATTAAAAATCTTTTTGTCAAAAAGATTAATTTAATATTTTTATCTTACAATTTTTGATTATTTTTATTATAATATATTTAGTGCATTTATTGTTTTTATATAAGTTATGTTATTCTGCTTTTCTTAATGATGAAATGAAATTAATTAGTGCCTTTTAATTATCATAAATTAATTAAGTTTTATAGAATTAGCATCAGTTTGTACAGATCTTTTCAGCTTCGGAGAATTAATAGAATTTTTTATTTTCAATATCAAAAGATTCTATAAATTATTTTTATATATTTATATCGTTATCGTAAACGAGACTTTATTTCAGCTTAATGTTGATCATAATGCCAGCATTAGGACATATCAACATACCAGCAGATCCTGATAAACGGGCCTCTCTCTTAGGTTTGCAAGACAAACCTTACGTGGCGAAACAGCTCATAAATTTTATGCTCGACATATTATTATTGCCATATGGGTGAGATATACGCTGGACAATAGCATTACTTTTAAATATTTACTTATAGTTTCTAACTGCAATATATAAATATCACTAGATCTGTGGGACAAACGGAAAATCAACAGGGTTCAGGTCAGACTATTGATTGGTCTCAGTTCACTGTACCGCCGGGCTTAAGCGACTACGCGTTCAAAAGAGTAATAGGCGAGAGTCCACCTACAGCCGAGCAACTCGAGCAAATAAAGTTGGGCATCGTTAAGTTCCTCGCTGGTGGATTTTTCCCGGATACAGATATTTTGATACACTTAATCGTAGCGGCTGCGGATACCAGATTCAGCATCGCTAATATGGCGGATTTAGAATTGAAAAAAATGATTGGGTGCGTGTGAAAATTGTCAGAACTTGTTTAGCATAGATCGGAGCTGTGTAATTTCTTCTGTATTCATCCGTTTAGCACATTGGATTGGTCTTCGATGCAATTAGCAGCTCCGCTTTATACATTATTCTTGGGTACCGATGCATTAGCCACGCAAAAAGAGGTAAAACCCGAAATGAAACGGCTACCTGCAAGCACACGAATTCGTCTCAAGCTTTTGCAATATCTTTGTCGAGTGACTAAAGCGGGATTCATTATACCACCGTGTATTCAGGTAAGTTAAAGCAAAAAGTGGAGTTATATATATTACGTAATAAAATTGTCATTTTTTTCTTAGGTTATTTTTGATTCACTCTATGGAAAAAATACGAATGCAAAGTTGAAATCATTGGCGCTGCAATTTACATCAAATATTGTCCAGCAGTAAGTGTTTTATAATTCAGTCGCTATTAAATTTTTTATGTACAGCATTACTGTTTACTGTTTACTGAATATTTATAGATTTTCAACATTTTGAGTTATTTCGCAAAGGAAAATATTGATTATATCTTCTATTCATACGAAACGTATAATTACTTTGCGAATTTTTTGTTTGCAAACTCTTTACACATGTGATATATTATAACTTTGTCTCTCATTATTTAAAATACACATCTTATTATTGTACATATATATAATAAATTATTCGATTTAAAAATATTTTTTAAGCTGCAGTCTGGTACCATTAACTCGTGTCGCTGGAGTAATCTTGAATGGCATGATAAAATTGATCTCCGAAGGCGATGACATGCATAAACCGATGGCTTATACAGTTATTGGACAACTTGGTCAAAGAATACCATCTCTGATAAATAAAGATTTAAGTTTGTTACACAACTTATTTGACACGCTTGTTTCTGTAAGAGTTCTGTATTATTTCTGTATGATTATTGAAATCATATATATATATGTGTATATATATATATATATATA